ATATATATATATATATATATATATATATATATATATATATATATATATATATATATATATATATATATAATTTAAATTGATAAATCGTCAATTTTACTATCTTGTAAATAGGCTCTACTTTATTATTTAAATAATAAAATTTCATGGAAAAATATCTGAGCAGACCTTTTCAATCTGCAAGGTCTACGAGAATATGAATTCATGCAAAGTGTCTGGATAATCTAGGAGGGTAATGTCAGAATGAGCTCATTCATATTCATGAGTTCATTATCATGCCGTGACATCACAGCCTGCTCATCGACCTCACACTCGTCTAGAACTCATTCCTGCACCACTGCACGGCTTTCAGTATAACTACATATCTTACATATTATATCTTTACTGAGCTCTATGAATACTCGATTTAGTAATAATACAGCTTTTCAAGGATGTTCATGTTTCTCTTTATGTCTTTCTGACCTCCAGGTTTAAGTCTCTGCTCTCTAACAGACCAGCGGCTGAGAACACGTGCATCGAGATCAGTCATGTCAAGTACAACATTTTTCAGGTTGGAATCTACTGACTCATACAGTAAATCCCACTCAAATTCTTGTCGGTATTACAGTCAAACTATGCTAGCCTAATTCCTACCTCTGTCAGCACAATTCAGCTTAATGACTAAATGTGCCTGTGCATTTGTGACTAGTGCTTAGGTCGTCTGTCTTCAAATGTTTCTCAGAAGTTTGAGAAGGTTTTGTTGTGTTTCAGCTGGTAATGCAGTACCTCTACTGTGGCGGCTCTGATTCACTGCACATCAGGAACACAGAAGTTATGGAGGTATTAAATATTCCCTTCTCTTTCCTCATTTATGATCATAATTCCTCCTACCCTAAACCATTTTTCCCCACCCACACACTAATGATGACTTAATGACTGATGACTTGAAAGGATGTTGTATGTGATGAATGAATGAGTTACGGTCTGATAACATGGGGAAGATTTCTCATGGAAAACACTTTAGAAAAATATCTGAATATGTCATCGCTCATTTGTCTCCATCTTTACCAGATGGAGTCTCTCTTACACGTAGAACTGCGGCAGAAATTGTGATAAATGCTTATGTATTTTAAATTTAATTAAGTGATTGCTCTTGCTTGTGATAAACCTGAAAGCTTGATGAGTTTGTCTCATTGTCGGTCCCTCTGCTTCAAAGCTCCTGTCTGCAGCCAAGTTCTTCCAACTTGAAGCTCTCCAAAGACACTGTGAAATCATCTGCTCCAAGAACATCACAACTGACACCTGCGTGGACATTTACAAACATGCCAAGGTACTCTGAACCATTCATTTATGACTATGCCGTTCTATTCGAATTTTCACAATTACAAATTTCCCCATTCAATCATTTATTTATTTATTTTGTGCAGTACACCTTCTTTCTTTCTTTCTTTCTTTCTTTCTTTCTTTCTTTCTTATTTTCTTTTATTAAATAATAATAATAATTATTATTATTTGTATATTAATATAGTTATTATTTATATCTATATTTATCTATTAGCATATTCTTTTTAATAAAAGCTATAAAACTTTGTATTTAATAATAATTTACAATAATAATACAATGATATTAATAATTATTTATTTATTTTGTGCACTACACATTTGTTTTCTTTCTTTTATTAATAATAATACTATTTAATTTGAATATTAGTAATAATATACAAATATTTATCTGTTAATTTATTGTTTTTAATAAAAGCAATAAAACCTTGTATTTAATCCATTATTATTATTTTGTGCAGTATACATTCTTTTATTCTTTTTATTACTACTACTAATAAATATAATAATAGTAATATAATATGAAATTATGTAATTTGATTTGTATTTAAAAAATAATAAATATTATACATATCAAAACTAGATACTAACCCTAACCCTAACCCTAACCCTAACCCTATGTATAATTCTTATTACAATATGCAAAACAAAAATCACAGACTGAATAGGGGAAATGGCTTATGTAAATTGTATATTTATTCATTCATTATTTTTGCAGTTTAGCCAATTGCCAAACATAAACATCTTGCTCCATGTTTTGTCTTGTTTATACATTTCCCTGGATCAGTCATTTTATCTGTGTAGTCAGGTTTGGACATTGCACACTGTATATTTGTAAAACCCTGGATTAGCATTTGTATTTGCATATTCATGAGGTTAATAACATCAATTAGACTAATACAGCACACCAACAAGAATGCAACCTGCTTTATTAATTACTTGACAATCTGTGCAAATGTCACCATCTTAATTTGCTCAGCTTGTCTTTAGTCTTTAGAAATAGACTACAAAATAATGAAAGTGCATAAGTGTGTGCCAATATTTTTAACCCTTTCCCTCAGACGCAAACTAAACGTTTCTGTATGAGGTGCATTACATTATAGTACTGCATTTTTTTTATTGTGTACATCTGGATACTGTATACCTTTGCAGGGCTTCATAATTCAGGATTAAATACAATTTAATCAAGAAAAAAAATTTCAAACCATTAACAAATTAAGAATAGTGCTTAAATCTCTGTTAGGAATGCTAAGTCTCACATTATGTTTCACACATCCTCAGTTCCTGGGGGCTCTGGAGTTGGCAGCCTTCATTGAGGGCTACTTCCTGAAGAACATGGTGCTCCTGATCGAGCTGGAGAACTTTAAGCAGCTACTGTATGAGGTTCCCGCAGAGAGCCCCGGTCCAGGCCCATCCTACGACATCCTCCACGACCTCGAGAGAACCCTGGCCCTGCGGATCCGCTCCATCCATCTCTCCACTTCCAAGGGCTCCATCGTCTGATGCTTTGCCAAACTCACACCAACCGCTCCATGCTGGCTTTCATCGAGAGCTCCATTATTGTTTGCCAACCGGTTGGAGACATTTCAAACATCACCGCCGTCATGACCAGTACCTTCCTGACGGGATGCACTGTAGGGAAGACCGAGAGATTGCATTTCACTCCCCAGGCTAACATCTCCACAGCGTTGCAAAAACGTCAGCCTGCTAAACTCATACCATTCCAAGGGCTACGTTTACGTGGTGGAAATATTGTCATGACAACATTATGACGCCCAACCAATGTTAGTGCCCAGGGAAACCGTGGCTCCTGATGTCATTACTGCCTCGGCAATGCATGCAGATGGATCGGGTTCATTTTTAGGTGGAACTGTCTTGGGGAATGAATATCATGCTAACTGCCGAGGACAGTTTTAGTAACACACACAAGTATATATAACTCTCCAATTGACGTAATATTGTTAGCCTGCCTTCTGAACCTTAAATTTGTGTAACATTCCCTCCAAGTGACGCTTAGCGCTAAGCAGACGATGCATGTTAAGTTAGGTGATGCAGCCATCAAGTTTCCCCAGCCATTTGTGTTCGAGTTGGACAAAATCATCCACTAGGTGTAGAGTTTTACAAAGGAGGTGTTTTGTATACTTCATACTCACATCCAACTACAACTTTTGGTATTTGTGTCACTGAACAATAATATGCCATCTGTTGAAATCCTAGCACTTGTGTTTAACGCTTTGCGGTTTTAAGGAATAGAGATTTGCTACCTTCAGTCATTTGTAGACTGATCCAACACAAATTAGCCAAGCAATGGTAGACTAAACATGTTGCTTTTAGTTTTACGTCTCACCCAAAAGTTCATTGTGTCCACCAGTGCATTAGTTCTAAGCTATGTTTCAACCCACACGTTTTAAAAACCCTCTAATCTACCACTGTGCTTAGTACACTTCAAACTGAGCAGTTCATCCTTGCCTTGAGGTTGCGTAACCAACCATCTGTGTCAAATAATCTGCATGGATCATGTCTGGAACTTCTGTAAAATACAAAAAAGCTCATTTTCCTTTTTGCGGATGCAGATTTACGCCCTTTGTGCAGGACTCTACTGTTCGTTGCTTGCGAGTCTGTCGAAATCGTGCGTTATTAGAGATGCCATTGCACTGGCCGCCACCTTCGTGACCTGATGTACATATTCCCGGTCTTCACCTGCTGCGCTGCTTTTGTTTAATGTGAAAAATGTGAAGCCAGCTCAAAACAAGCTGTTTTAAGTGTGCATGTTCCGCTTTTTCCTGTGTTCGTCTGTAACCCTTCAGGATGTTGGTAAGTTCGAAACTGTACTGGACGTATGGTGTTACCAGCAGAAGATTTTGTTGGCCAGGCTGAACCCAAAGTGACAGATTTTGAAGTATATAAGGCATTTCATCCAAAGATTATGACATTAGAATTTCAACCAAATACTCCATTTATTGGCACACATGAGATATGAATATTGGATAACATTGGTAGGCATCTTACACATGCTGGTAGCGCTGTCCAAGAGTCCTGTTTTGATTAGAGGTGTGTTGTATGATTTCTATTTCATGTACGGCAATGGAATAACTCGGTTATGAACATCCTCATGTAACATGAAAGGTTGGATTATTACTAAATTACCCATTGAAATACATAGTTTATTGATATGTAGCTGACCATGGAATAACAATATCATGATGCAAATAATTTAAAACTGTGAAGATACATTTATTTTAAAGAAACTTAGCATAGTTACTTTATTTTCTTACAAAATACATTTATTGTGAAATCCCTGTCTGCTATTTTGTGTAACAGAGATAATAAGTCATAATGTAACTGTATCTATGTCCTTGCATTTGCAAAATGCCATTGCTTTGATAAGCTAACACAAAAACTGACAAGGATAAATCATCATGTAATTTTAAAAGATCAGACCTGCTTATTTGCAATGTCTTCAGTAAACCCCACCATTTGTGTTCTCAAAACTGGATTTGTAAAAGCAATAGGCCTACTTGGCACAAATATGTCCATGCAAGGTTAGTTTTCTCGTCTGACCCATTACTTGTGCTTAGCATGGATGCTTCTCCATGTAGCCAAATGTAAAGCAGAGGCCAATGTCATGACGTGTTTGTAAAAGCTGTACAACTCCTCACATAAAAAAAAGAGACTTGCTCTGTGTTTCTTGGCTTCAGCTTTTTCTGCTTCAAGGCTGTTCAACATGCTTTAACTTTCCACTAATGCACACCTTTTGACATGTCTATTCGACAAAAACCTGCATGCTTTGGCTGGATCAGAGTCTAACGGAATTTGTTTGCTATTATTATTATTTCACCTGATTGAAACATTGTACATTGTACAAAAAATATATAGAGAAATATCTATAGAACATGGTGTAAATATAAGGGATGTGGTTGAGTTTAACAATCGAAAAAACAAGAATGTTACACTTGTGCTACAGTGCAGTTGTTCAATGACATGCATTTGTGTACAGTCAATAGAAATGACCACGATTGACCACTGTGTTGCAAAACTGGATTTGTAAAAGCAATAGGCCTACTTGGCACAAATATGTCCATGCAAGGTTAGTTTTCTCGTCTGACCCATTACTTGTGCTTAGCATGGATGCTTCTCCATGTAGCCAAATGTAAAGCAGAGGCCAATGTCATGACGTGTTTGTAAAAGCTGTACAACTCCTCACATAAAAAAAGAGACTTGCTCTGTGTTTCTTGGCTTCAGCTTTTTCTGCTTCAAGGCTGTTCAACATGCTTTAACTTTCCACTAATGCACACCTTTTGACATGTCTATTCGACAAAAACCTGCATGCTTTGGCTGGATCAGAGTCTAACGGAATTTGTTTGCTATTATTATTATTTCACCTGATTGAAACATTGTACATTGTACAAAAAATATATAGAGAAATATCTATAGAACATGGTGTAAATATAAGGGATGTGGTTGAGTTTAACAATCGAAAAAACAAGAATGTTACACTTGTGCTACAGTGCAGTTGTTCAATGACATGCATTTGTGTACAGTCAATAGAAATGACCACGATTGACCACTGTGTTGGGTCGTCATTAAATTTCTGTGATAAACTGTTGAGTCTTTATTGATTGATTGATTAACTTGAGTGTGTTCAATAGAGCTTGTGGATGAAATTGTATATGTTTCCTCAACATGTAAAGATGGTTGGTTAGATTGGCAAGCTGTTTTGGAAGGATAAGTTGATGTGTCAGAAAAAATGATAATGGTATGGTTTTTAAATGGAATCAAAGAAGAAAATAAATAATTAAACTTGCTAAATGGCTCCTCCTACTGGGGAATTTAGTATTCATCAGTTTATTAGTGCTAATTATAGTCAAGTCATTTTATTAAACAAAGGAGTTTCTGTATTCTAAATCTAGTTCCGTGTTACATTTTATATTCATTATAGGCCTATGCGATAAAATGGCTTATTCAAACAGAAAAGTCTAATTATAATAGTAGCATGAATTTGCCGGAATCAGAACCATTTGGATTTAAACTACAGAATCAAATCCCTAATTGTATTGGAAGGTAGCAATAATTAAATTCGGCGAGTTTAATCAAGCATTACGTTTTATTTTGATCCGAGTAGTTTTAAACACGAGATTAAACTTGTTAATCAATACAACCTGCACCTGCTATTTGTTTTGATTGATTGCCCACTGTGTATTTAACTGGTCCTGGACCCCCAGAAGCACTCATTTTGGATGTCACACATTTGAAGTCCTGAGACTTTAATCTGGATCAGAATGATCCGGATTTGGAATCACATGGATCAAGTAATCCATTTTACTTTTGTGCTTGTTTTCTAGATTGGATCACTCTGATCCAGAGAATAATGTTTTTTTTTTTTTTACATATTACCAGATTAGCGTTTTGTATTCAATTTAACACGGCATAACATTTATTTTCTCCATACACTAAAGCATAAATATCCGTTTTTGTTACTTTTTCAAGGTCATTTATTTCAAGAAAAATATGCTACTATTTTCTGCCAGGACATACTGTTTTTCTACCATTTATTAGTGATAATTTTCTGCCAGAACATTAGCTTATCCGTTTTTCTACGGATTTTTTTCCCCCAACAGTGTGCTGCAAATAAAATGTCTCTGCAGTGTATTTGGTTTTTCACCTGATCTCGGATCAGTTTTATAAATCAGTTTGAATGATAGGCCTATATTTGTATAATTAAAAGGAATAGTAGTAGTTAATAGTCTCTGATTGGCCTATTTAGACAAACTCTAAATTTTGTGTTTTAGTGCCTGTGTGTTCGTGTCTTCTTCTTCTTGCTTTACGGCGGATCGCAGACTTATAAGTGCATTACCGCCACCTATCTCTCAAATGGACCATTGACACTCCTACTTGAGATTGTAGATAGAGTCAATGGTCCGTTTGAGAGATATAGGTGACGGTAATGCACTTATAAGTCTGCGATCCACCGTAAAGCAAGAAGAAGAAGACACGAATGCGCTCAGGACAGTTTGGACATTGCGGTGAAAATCAGAGGTAAAAAACGATATAAATACTGTTCAGTTTCTTGCACAGACCGATCGTTTCGTGTCTTTACACATCAATGTATCGTCACGAGCCGCAGGCTTTAATTTGGTTTTGTTTGTGTATGTTTTTTTGACTCTCAAAGCCGTGATTCCCATTCACCTCCATTTTAAGACTGACAGACTGCAACGGTTTGAGTTAAAAATCTTCGTTTGTGTTCTACTGAAGAAACAAAGTCACCTACATCTTGGATGCCCTGGGGGTAAGCAGATAAACGTTTAAAAAAAATTATTTTTGGGTGAACTATCCCTTTAACAAAAGGGATAATTTCAACAAGGTGAACATTGTGGCCCTCTGGTGGACAAAGGGATGGATAGCACCATAGATGCGAAGTGAACTAATCATTCATGTTTCTCTAATTTGACTTTGGCTGCATTAATGATTTCCTTATTTGGAATATTAACAAGGATTAAGAGGAATTAAATTAAATGTTAATCTTTTAAACTTAGAGTAGGTTATATTAAAAAGTGGGTATATTTCAAATGAACAGTAAGAGAAGTGTATAACACTTTGTCATCACAAACCTTTGTACTTTCACTCAAGTGAAATTTACTCCTTTTCTGGAGTAATATTTAGGTGTACTTTGAGGCCGTCTGGTGGACAAAAGGATGACCTATACACGAGTTGACTGTCAGTGCTTCAACAATGTGAAAGAACCAATAAGAAACAATTAACTACTACTCTTTTTTTATATTCTACTGTGTAATTAAAATGTCTACATTACCAGTTTTGACGTAACGCAGCCTCGTTTACTGAGGATTCATTACAAAGGGTTTAATCTTTACGTAACGACGTCACCAGCAGCTAGCCCCTCCCTCTCCAGGAAGCTGTCGTCGTTTTGACAGGCAGCTTACTTTCTAGTAAAGTTACTCTTAGTCCGTAGTCTTGTTCTCCGTCTTCGTTGCTTGAGAGAGTCTCAGTAAACACCTCAGGAGAAAATGTCCTTCATCTTAAACGTGAGTGTATACATATTAAATAAATGCTTGCAGAACGTCGTTTTTACTGTAATGTTAAGTTATACAGATGTTTCAAATGCATTTCAATGCTTCAAAGGTTGGTAACTTTATTCTGAGGGTTTGTTGACAGTCTCACATCCACCATCACAGTTTGATTTTAGCCTTAGCGCAGCACAAGCCCATTATAATTTTGTACATGAACCTGTTTGGTACATGACTGCATAATTAGAAAAAGCCCTTTAATTTCCCTGTCCATAGCTCATCTCTGGCAGCTTTCAGTTTGTGTTTGATTTGATCCGGAGGCTCTTTGGCATAAAAAGAAGACCTGCCACATTACTCTTGAAGACCCTAATACGAAGTATGCATTGCGTCTTGTGGACAAAGTGGTGAGGATATTTTAAAATGTAGTGGTTTAACTTGTATATAAATAGATTTTATTAGTAGTAACAGCTAATTGAATTTCTCTCTTTTAAGATTACCAGTCATGATACAAGAAGGTTTCGCTTTGCTTTAAAATCACCTGAACATGTTCTTGGACTTCCTATCGGTGAGTGCAATATTAAAGGGGACATATGATGCGATTTCAAGTTTTCCTTTCTCTTTGGAGTGTTACAAGCTGATTGTGCATAGATAAGATCCCTGAAGTTGCAAAGACTAAAGTCTCAAAACCAAAGAGATAATCTTTATCAAAGTTAAGACTCTGCCACGCCCCCCTAAAACGGCTCATTCTAACACGCCCCCACATATCTACCTCACTATGTGGAAATATTTGCATAATGCCGCCCAAATGTGCACGCAAAGAAAGAAGGCGTGGTTTCAGTAAC